TTTTTTTTTTTTTTTTTTTTTTTTTTTTTTTTTTTTTTTTTTTTTTTTTTTTTTTTTTTTTTTTTTTTTTTCTTCTTCTTCTTCTTCTTCTTCTTCTTCTTCTTCCTCCTCTTCTTCTTCTCTGTCCTCTGAAAACCGAAACCCAGTCGGTTTTGTTTTTCCGATTTTCATATCTTTCGATCCGTAGATCGGATCAATATGATTCCTAGTATTCTTTTTATAATTTTTTTTTTCTTGACTATGGAGGATTTAAGAACGCCGGAAGTTCGCTCACCGTTCTCGGATGACCCTCGGATCTCCGCCTTTGATGGAGGATTTAAGAACGCCGGAAGTTCGCTCACCGTTCTCGGATGACCCTCGGATCTCCGCCTTTGGGTTGAGGTCTCGGCCAAATTTCTTCACAGATTTTGAGCGTAATCCTCTGTAGATTAACATACTCAAATTTCAGGCTCTAACTCTTACTGTATCTCACAGATCTAAAGCAATTTCGAGAATCTGGATTCAAGAACTTTACCTTTAGATTTTTTTCCTCGTTTCTGGATGGTTTTGGACGATCTAAAAGTTAAGAATGTTCTTCTCTAAGTTCTGTGAAGATTTCATGAAGGCTCGGCCGGAACCGGACTCCTCGTGGCCGGAGCGGCGGTTACCTCCCTCTCTCTCTAGAACTTTCCTTCTCTCTCTATAATTTTCTCTCTCACTATTTACATTCTTTTCTTTCCGCACTTTCTCCTTCTCTTCCTTTTCCCCTTTATTTTTTTTTTTCCTTTTTCTCTTTTATTCCTATGTTACTAAAAAGGAGGTATAATGACCAAATTACCCTCCAGGGATTTACCTTGACGATCCTTTTAGTTTTCTATTATTTTTCTTTTATATTTTTCTTCCGTTCTTTTATTCCTCATCATTTTTCTCTTCACTCTCATCTCGGATTTTGGTCTTTAAGACCTTCAATAAACTTGAGAGAGATCGACTTTTAAGGTAAACTTAGATTTTAAACTTTCAATTGAGGCTCGGGTATTACATTTTATTTATTTATTATTTTTGTAATTTTTGGCGTGTGATTCACAGTAAAAGATTCCATCTTCTTTATTCACGATTTAATCTTGTTTGCGGGGAGAATCCTCCTACAGAACTGGACACTCCTTGTTCTTGTTTCTGCTAATATCCAACCGAAAATAATAATAATAATAAAAAAGTTTAAGCCTTTGGTACAATTAACCTCATGGACTCTGCCAGACCACTCAACCTCATGGACTCTGCCTCGGCGGCCATCGCTGAAGATTTCTTTCACGGACTTTCCCTCGGAGCCATTAAGCAGTCGGTGGCGTTCGAGGCATTAAGGACTCTGGCCCCACTCCTGACGTCACCTCCTCCCACCACTGAGGATGGACGGTCCAGATCAACCCAAGGTCGCGCGCAGCCCAACTGTAAATTCTATAAAATTTTCAAACACCAGAAGCTTCATTCTTCTAAATTCTGTAGTTTATTTATTTTGTTCTTTTGTTGATTATGGATCATTCCACACACGTTACACTTGTCACAAAACCAAGGCCCAAACAACCAAAGGTTTTATGTCGTTTATTAATTTTTAAAAAATCTTAAATGATTATTTTCCTCTCCATATA